TTTTTGTCCATATTTCTCCACTGTTGGCTGGGCACACACGTAATTGTTTTACATAATTACTTAATATTGCAAAGTCAGCTCAGTTCAGTTCAGTTGCTCAGTTGTGTCCAACTCTTTGTGACCCAATTGACTGCAGCACACCAGGCTTCCCTGTCCATCTCTAACTCCCAGAGTTTACTCAAACTCATGTCCATTGATTTGGTGATGTCATCCAAACATCTCATCCTCTGTCGTCCCCTTCTACCCCCACCTTCAATCTTTCCCAGCATCAGGGTCCTTTCAAATGAGTCAGTTCTTTGTATCAGGTGGCCAAAGTATTGGAGTTTCAGCTTCAGCATCAGTCCTTCCAATGAGTATTCAGGACTGATTTCCTTTAGGATGGACTGGCTGGATTCCCTTGAAAAGTCAAGAAGGAATCTAATGTAAAACTTAATGATAAAAAATAACATAGCAACACCTGAAGAAACAGGTATTCAGTATTAAGAAATAATAAAAATATTTCTTAAGTTGAAACAGAGACAACAACCAAGATGCCCTATATCTTTATTTGCTTAGAAAGTTCACCTCTGAAGTTATTTGTGGGAATAAAACTTCTCTCACCATAGCACTTGCACAGGTTTTGTGTTGAAGCCCCTACTTTCATGACTTATAGAGACTTAAAACTAGCAAGTTTTAAGCATTGCTGTTTGTATTTTTCTCAGGTAATTCTTTATTTACCCATTTGTGTCTGCCATTAAACAGTGACCTTCATAAGGGTCACTGAGTCCAATTCATCTCTTATTATCAGTTCCTGGCATTTAATGGATACCAATTTAATACTTGTTGAATGAGTGCATGACTGCAATGAAAGAATACTTTTGAGAATCATCTACCAAACCACTATAAAAAAATTAGAAAATAGTATTCAAGGTTATATTCTCTCTAGACTCTCTTTCTTTGAGCATAGTGTTCCAGTATCTGTGGTTGCATTCTTTTTATACTTTCAGGAGCCTCTAAGAAATAGTAATACATCAGGACTTGAAAAGTGATTTGGGATTGGCATGTAATACTTTGTCAAAACAAAAATTGCACACAAATGAAGACAAAAGGAATGTGAAGAATCCCTCTCAGTAATAGAGGAATATACCATATTCCTCATAGGGGATGAAGGATGTCAATTCATATATTCATGAAATGTATTCAAACTTTGACAATACTGTATTATTTTGCCTGTGCTTTGGCATGAAGTTAGAGACAGTATATTGGCCTATGAGGTATTCAATTAGTATGTGTTTTAGGTGATTCTAGTGAGATTGCTCAGTTACTATTCCTGATATGTAAAACCCTATAGGGCTTTTGTCTTTCTTATGTTTTACAGATAAACTAACACAATGTTACTAACTCCACTCTAGCAGAGAACAGAGTGACATTCTTGATTCTCTTTTCAACCTATTGCCTATGTAAGAGAATTATGTGATATTAATTTTTGTACCAGCATGGAAATTTTTTACTATTTCAGGTTTTCTCCAGCATATCTGATAAAGTATCTATATAATATTCTCTTAGGGAAAGGATAGGAATAGAGGAAGTGGCAAATTTATTGTAAAAATTGCAACCCAGATCTATGCTCCAGGGAAAGAGTCAAAGAACCTTAAAAGAAAATGATTGATTCAAATTAGTGGCTTTTCACTGTTTTTCATATATTTAAAATATAAGAATCACATTTAATACTATGTCTGTAACAATTTAAACATGTTCGTTCTTCTCTTACTCATACTCCTTTATTCTTTCCCCACCAAATTTGGAGCTTAGTTTTCCTGTTAGCCTTATTTCCCTCAAAATGTTTTTTGAAACTATTCAGACATTTATAGTACCTTGAAAGTATATTTTTCAGCAGAATCTAATTGTTATGTAAAAACATTTGTTTTCTGTTATTAACACACCTGTGTGTAAACTAATTCTGTGATCACTACAATTATAAATTAAAAAACTTTTGGGGACTCAACTCTACCCAATAGTCTTCTACCTATTACTGAAATATCAAAAGTTAATTGGAAGTTAACTTGTAATATGTATTCTTTGCACATATTCCTGTCAAGAACTTCTATGTCTAATTAAGACAATAGGGATATTTGTGTTATGATGATTTCTGATATTAATAGTATTTCTATAATATTTCAAACCACTTTAGAATGTGTTTTTTTTTTTTTAATCTGTTTTTAAATTCTGTATCTGTAAGCTTCTGTGAATGAGGGTATTTTCACTGTAAAACAAATTATTATCCAGAGAAATGTTTTTTTTTTTTTAATGCAGCATTTGATTTTGACAATTTTAAAAATTTCTGGATCTGGGATAGCCTTGAAAAGTATTTTCAGGGCTAGATCACCAAGTTAATACTCTAAAGGCAATTTTCTTGGTTGTATCATATGAACCAACAAACACTTCACTGCAGCAGAACTGAACTCATATGGGGATGATAGCAATTTGAAATGCTATCACTGAATCTTAATTTCCATGGAGTCTCAAAAACCAGTGAAAACAATTTTCATTTCTTCCCATTGCTAGATATCACATTTAGATATGAAAAATCTATATTCATTAAAAATATATCAAGCACATATATGTAAATTACTCTTAAATTATTCATAGGTTTCTCCCTTCAGTTTTGTAAGTAGCGTTCTTTCTCTACATTTGGTTTATCATTCCCAAAGGTTTTCAAGGTGTTAATTTTTTACTCTCCATTTCAGTTTAATGAGCAAATAAGTTGTTATTTACCTGACATTCATACAAATGTTGCTTAAATTTGGTGGGTGTAGAGTCTTTTAGTTTTATTAAGCTGAAAAATATTTTAGCTGCAAAAGTGATGCCTGCAGTCAGTTTTGTCTTATTTGGCTATATTGTAACAGTTTGCCAAATTACTACTGAAAATTGAATAAACTCTGTATTCAAGACAGTTTTATTTTGAATATGTTTTTATTGCTAATTTTGTTGCCATTCATCTAAGCCTCCTGCATGGAAGTATTGCAAATTTAAAATAATAGGAGGGAACAAGGGATAAAGAAGGAGAGACTTATTTTTAAGACTAAGACTTTTTTCATATTTTGTTTTGTGTTTTAAGTATGGAAATCTTTGCTATATTTATACCTGGGGGGAAATAACATTTGATATGATTACTGTATTATATTTGTATTTTTTGAGACAACATAGAGAAGAAAGTACAGACCTAGGTTAATAAAACCTGTGTGCAGTTCCCTTATCAGCCATGTGACTATGATCATTAACCCTGAATTTCAGTTTCTATAGTTGTGAGTTTAATATGTTAAATGGCTGATTTGACCTACCCACTCAATATAATATTTGTATTAGTCATTTAGTACATTTGAAAGCAGATTACTATTAAATAAAATGTATATTATACTCATTTCTTTCCATATTTTAACTCTGGAGTATATTAAAAGTATATGACAAGAAACATATTGAATAAATAAGCATGTCTGTCTTGGCACCTAAAATGCTTCCTTCATAGTATAATATTCTTCCCATCTTAACAAACAACTGACTAGTCATTTTAACGTCATTAGTAATGCTAAAATTTCTCCTTGAAAAGTTAAATAATGCAACACATTTACCTCTCAGTTAAAATATTTATTTTTAATAATTTTAATGCAATGTCCCTTAAAGACTTAAAATTCATCATTTTAATACAAGTATAGGTATTATCATGCCTGCTTCAACCTAGATCTAATCAGTAAAATATTAATAGTTTGATTTTTTGCTACAAAGTTTTCCATTTTTGATTTATAGAGCTTGTAAATATGAGTGAAAGTTTCTTCAGGATTAATATACTTGGGATTCCAGCCATAGCTCAATTTGGTTGTAAAAGTCCAATACATTTATTTTATACAGCATTCTCAGGGGGAAAAATAATCAATTTTTAAGATAAATCAAAACAATATGTATAAAGAAAATACACATATTTTATATAGTTTAGCATCTTCATGGAGAAATACAAAATGTGAACATAGATCTTTTCTATATGCAATCTCACTTTCTCTTCTTGTGTATGATTGCTTATATATATGTATTCAAATATGCACAGAATACACACCCTTTTGCTTGAATGAGTCAACGATTGCCATATTTTTCTAGACTTTAGTCACTGCTACTATGTGACAGCTGAATAAAGCTTCACCAGGCATAACTTCAGAAGACTAGATCTGGTTTAACTGAAAGCATGAATTTCTGTATTGTAATATAAATATTATATCTGTTGAAAGAATAGGTGAAAGAAAACATGGATTGTGTACCTTCTGTGTTTTAACATTTCATTTATTGACATGTTTTATTTCTACATATTCTGTCTGGATTTTCTTTCTATATTTTAGTTTCTTCCACAGTCCTTCTATATTACAAGATTACTAAAATAAGGTTTGCTTTGTATGAATTCATTTTTTAAGATGGCATTACAAGATAATTTATGTAATTCAAACTAGAATAGTCAGCCATTTAGCAATCTAAGTGGACAGAATTGAAAGTTATACTGTATTTGTGTATGCATTCATAAATTACCTAGTGCTGTAGGTATAATAGTGAATAATAAAGATCTCTGTCCTCTTTGTGCTTAATGTCTAATGGCACCCAAATATATGAATAAAAAGTAGAATTGTGAAGAAATACAAGTGTAGATTTGCCACTCTAATTCATGCAATGAAGTAGAGTGTATGGTGGAAAAATCAGAACATAGAAGGCTTCTTGAAGGAAATGATGTTTGTGATATCAAAAACAGGAGCAAATTAAGCAAGTAGAAGGCATTTCAGGTAGGGAGTAGTGTGTATATTTTGGAAATTCTTCCTAGTAATTTCTATGAATAGCCAATTTTTTACAACAAAAATCATTTTATTGAAAACACATACATATATTTATAAAAGACATTTTTTGTTGTTAGTATGAATGTTATTGCTGCTTTTATTAATAATATACATTTTTGTGTTTACCTGAGTTTATCTACAATTTCATTTCAGCTACCTGTTCTGGACTGAATGGGGACAGATGCCCTGCATTGGAAAGGCTCGCTTAGATGGCTCAGAGAAGGTTGTCCTCGTGAGCATAGGAATAGCATGGCCAAATGGTATCTCCATTGACTTTGAGGTCTGTTGGATGTCTTAAGCGTTTAAACTGCATTAAATGCAAACTTGCTTTACTCCATTTTTAGTGTTCTCTTATTTTCTTTGTAAAACACTTAATAAAAAGCAGCTTGTAATATTACTTTTCAATTGATCTTAGGAAAATAAATTGTACTGGTGTGATGCTCGAACAGACAAGATAGAGAGAATTGACCTTGAGACTGGCGGGAATCGTGAGATGGTGCTGTCAGGGAGCAATGTGGATATGTTTTCAGTTGCAGTCTTTGGGGCTTACATCTACTGGTCTGACAGGTAATTTATTTTTTCATAAGTATTTGAGTCTCAAAATGTTATTTTAGTGTCAGTTGCTTTACCCTTGTAGGATTAGCCATTTCTTAGCAAGGTCAAAAAAAAATCTCACAAAACCATGTAATTTCAACAATAAAAAGGCAGTTGCTCTTGCTATTCCAGGCTCAACCCTTTCAATGTCACAGACTAATGTTGGTTTCTTTCCCTTCGGCTGGGCCATCTGTTATCTTCAGCTTAAACAACTGGTTTGGTTTGAATTAGTTAAAGATTGTTGATCATGTATGTTTGACTTCTTGGCAGAGCACATGCCAATGGGTCCATCAGAAGGGGCCACAAGAATGATGCCACGGAAACCGTAACCATGAGAACGGGTCTTGGAGTCAACCTGAAGGAGGTTAAAATCTTTAACCGAGTAAGAGAGAAAGGTCAGTGCTCTTATATTATCAATACATTTTATGTTATTTTTTTCTCCTATTTTTTTTAACATTTATTTATTAAACTTAACTTAGGGATTAATTTTCATAAGTCCCAAACCTCAAGACCCTCTTTTTTTTTACCCTCTAATTTCTAATAAAAATCATATGCTAGCCTAATGAAATTAATTTATAATCATTCATGGACAGATATTTTTGCCTAGACAGTGCATGTACATGGACATGTTATATACTTGGCCTGTCTTCAGTACAGGTTTAGACTAAGTAATATACAAACATTTGATAAGTACATATATTTAACCATATATAAATATATATATTTATATATATACAAAGCACAATTAGGATATTAGCAAAAAGCAGCCAAAATATTTTTTTTCCACTTTATTTAGAACTGACTAAACATGCTGCGTTACTTGGACCAAAAGGTTGTCTTCATGTCAGATTATATTTAATATATAAAGTGATGATGGCTCCGGAAGGTTGCTATTAGTGTGAAAAGTGTCCATAGTCATCATTTCTTTAAAATATGTTTCTAAACTGGTATGACAGTGACTTAGATATTTTTTAATATCACTTCCACTAAGATAATATTCATTTTAAGTGTCCATTAGAGTAAATTATAATTTTCTTGACATCAAAGAAAGGTATATAACATTAATTGTTTTGAAGAGGATAATGGATTCATAGAGGGGAATTAGTCTAACATAGAAATCTTAATAGCATGTGACATGTTCACTCAAAACTGGAGTAAAAGACTTATGCCCAGTATACTTAGGATGTCAGGCACATTGGGACCATAGATTCCATTGATGCCTTATATGCTTCACAGACATAGGTAGCGCTTCTTTGTTTTTCTTGGTGAACTCAATTCATGTTTTGCGTGAATTAGTTACTTGCTCCAAAGATTACAATATTTGAAACCTATTGTAATCTCAGTATCAAGTTTCAAAAAAGTTATGTACTTAACTAACAGATTAAGGTTAACTCTTAATAATTCTCTTTGGATGGTCAGGGAAGCAGAAGAATGTGAAGTAATAAATCTAAGGTTTTAAAGTGGAGTGACTAAAAAAAACACAAAACAGTACTTTAGAGTGTTTGAATTTTTTACTGACCAGTCTAAAATTAAGAATAAAATAACCCAGAATATTCAATGTTTTTTTTTTTTTTTAAACATGAATCTAAGAAAAAACTATATGGAAAACAAAAGAAAAAGGCACAAACATGTGTGTATGTATCGTTTTCTTCTCTCTAGGGACCAATGTTTGTGCCAAGGACAATGGGGGATGTCAGCAGCTCTGTCTTTATCGAGGAAATTCCCGGAGAATTTGTGCTTGTGCCCATGGATATTTGGCAGAAGATGGAGTTACATGCCTCAGGCATGAAGGCTATTTGCTGTATTCAGGGAGAACAATATTAAAAAGTATACATCTTTCTGATGAAACCAACTTAAATTCACCAATCAGGCCATATGAAAATCCACGTTATTTCAAGAATGTTATAGCCCTGGCTTTTGACTATAATCAAAGAAAAGGTACCAATCGAATCTTCTACAGTGATGCACACTTTGGAAATATACAGCTTATTAAAGATAACTGGGAAGACAGACAAGTCATTGTTGAAAGTAAGTACAACATTTTTTCTTAAAATAGTTTAGTGGAAACGGGTATCATTTGGAGTAGCAGAGAAATTAAGAGTGGTGATTGCATGTAGCAATTACATTTTCCTAGAGTTTTTATTCAAAAACAAGTGCAACTATATCATCCAAAACCCCAAAAGTCAAAGAAGCAATTAATTGCTTAACATGTACAGCATGAATATTATGATTGTTAGCTTCTAATCATGGAACATTCAGTATATTCCTTTATAATGTTTATCATAAATGTTTATTAAAATTAATGGAAAATAATTTTCAGTATTAAACTTACTAATTTTATTTTCTTCTAATGGGAAAAATTATATCTTTATGAATATCTATCTAATTATATTTGGTGAATTTTATTTTCTCAAATATCAGAGATTATATTTGGTTTGTGTGCATATATATGTATATAACATTCTTGATGAGAGAATGTAACTAATGATTAATGTTTTTAAGACATTTTTAAAATTTTATAGGACAGTCATTTTAATATTTTATGGGACTCAAATGTAATGTTGTATGAATTATCTATATAATTTAGAGAAACCTCTTCCTGTCATCCAACTTTACAGGAACTATCTTCCTATTCCTCATTTAACATCTCTACATGATTTCCATATATTCCTTACTTTCCCAATTTTACTTTATTGAGGTCAATCTTTTGTCATTACTTTTTAAATTTCAAAATGATACATAAATTTATTGTAAAATGTTCAAGTAATATGGATTTTAAATGAAGTTTTTGCCTCATCACTGCAACATCAATTCCATTTACTTACTTGTGACAGCTGTCATGCCTCCAGAATTTTTTATAGGTATGTGTTTCATTTGTAATTATAAAAATGGAATGATCTGTATGCAATATTCACCTGCTTTTTTTCACTTAGAATATATCTTTAAAAGCTTTCACTTAAGTATATAAGGCTCTATCTCATTATTCTGAAAGCCTGTATCTATCCTGTGTCGGTATGCCAAGTGGCTTCAGTCCTGCCCAGCTCTTTGCAACTCTATGGACTAGAGCCCACCAAGCTCCTCTGTCCGTGAGATTTCCCAGGCAATTACACTGGAATGGGTTGCCATGCCCTCGACAAGGGGGTCTTCCCAACCCAGGAATTAAACCCTAGTCTCTTATGTCTCCTGCATCGGCAGGCAGGTTCCTTACCACTAGCGCCTCCTGGGAAGCCCCTCTCTCCTGTACTAAGGGTAAACTAATTTATTTAACCATTTTCTTATTGACAATCATTTAGGTTGTTTTGGTGTCTTATCATTACCTACAGTGAATGTCACGATGAACATCTGTGTGCATAAATGTTTTTTCACACATGTGAATATTGCTTTTGTATAGAATCCTAGAAATAGAACTGCAAAATCAATGTGTTTACTTTTTATAATTGGTCAAATTTCAAGAAAACTATATGAATTTATATTTTCATCAATTGTTTATAAAAAAGACCTATTTTCCCTCACTTTTGACAATGATTTTATAATATTTACTATCATGTAGCTAATATATAAAAGAGTCAACTTATGTTAATATAAATATATATTAACTAGAGAGATAACTAGATAACTAGAGAGATCCAGTATCTACTCATATATTTTATTCATGTGAAAAATGGATACTTCATGTCAAACTCTATTATACATTACCATCCCATGCTAGGCCTGTTATAGTTTATTTTGTTCTTTCAACATTTAATATCTTCAAAATCCTTTTGGGTCTACTCAAATCTGACTCAGCCTTTCCAAGTCAGTTCAAGTGTGTACTTTCAAGTATATACAAATACAAAATATTATTTCTTTATTCTGTAGGATATCATACTTATTGATAGTTTTAATAACAATTTGTATATTCTAGCACAAATATACAAATAGCACTGTATATTCATGCTATTTTGCTTTCTAGTATGTGTGTAAATATGAAGATACAACTATAAGTATACTGATCATAGAGTTCAGACATTTGAGAGTTGTTGATTCTTTAGTTATATCTCTATGAAGTTTATATTATAATTCTCTTTGGCCCTCCCTCCATTTTCTTAGACTAATACAATTCAGAGTTGAATGTGCTCATGTTGCACATGTAATCTATTAACTTTTTCATTTTCTGTGCTCCAGATTCCTTGTCAGACATTTTGGGTATAAACATAAAAGCCACAGCTTAAGGAGAAAACTATAAGTAAACAAGCTGTTGAAATTTAAAAATTTAAATTTCTATTGAAATTTAATAGAATCTCTAGGATACTAAAGGTCCAGAGAATAGATAATCTGTCTGGGGAAGGTCAGAGGATACCACTGAACTGAGTCAAGGAATCTAGGTGATCAAAAGTATGTTCATAATAATACTAGATATTTGCCTTTTTTTTACAGTGTTAAAAATTGCACCAATGGTGGAAAAACCATTGTGGCTAAACTGCTGATACCTTAGCATTAATCAAGACAGCAGCACCAAACAGTACTAGTAGTCATTGTATTTTTCACTGCCACTTATTAGCAGGGGGAAAAAAAATAAAGCCAGTTTAATTTAAGAATGTTCTTGAAGAAAAGGTAAAAAAATAATTTTATTAAATTTTAATCCTTCCTAATCCTTCAGATTACACCTCTTTATTATACGCTGTGATAAAATACAAATAGGGAACTTCTATGGCATTCTTAAGTCCAATGTCTGCTAAAGGAAACTGTGTATTTCTGTCTTATGTAAGTCCATGGTTCTTTTAATTAACACTATTTTTTACTTGAATGAGGAACAGACAAACTATGATTATTCAAACCTGGTTGTGTGGCATCTGAATACAATGTCTATGATTCCAAGGAAAATGACCTACATTATTTGTTGCAAATAATAAAAATCAAGCTTTCAAGTAAAAATTAAATTTTTGAAAGAGTTGTATCTACTATAGTAAGCTTGATAGCTTCCCAATACTTAAAGGCTTTTCTGATGAGATGAGTAGTGATATTACTAGTGATCTGGGGGGTTGTTGCATACTGAAATTGTCAGCATTTGGAAGATATGCATAACTCAGGGAACAAACACTTTCCTAATGACATGATAAAATCATGCCTGTGTAAATGATCCATTCAGAGTATACGATAGACCAATGAATTTAATGTAATAAAGTATGAAACATTCATCATGATGGTTTCTGATTCTACATTGAATCTAACCTTTAAGTAACTATCAGTTTTCATGTGCTGTAGTATAAAAGCATATTCAGAATTATCTGAAAGGCTATTAAAACCCTCCTTCCTTTTTCAAACTTCTTAGCTGTGTGAAGCTGGATTGTCTTCATAAATTTCAACTAAAATAACACAACAAATTTGATGAAGTAGATGTGAGAGTTCAGCTGTATTCTAGTAATCAAGTCATTAAGCACATTGATAAAATGATAAAACAATGTTTTTTCTCATTTAAAAAATGCAGCTATTTTCATAGATGATGGTATTTATATTAGTATGCTATCATTTTTGTTTTTAAAAATATATTCAGTTCAGTTCAGTTCAGTCTCTCAGTCGTGTCTTACTCTTTGTGACCCCATAAATTGCAGCATACATATTAAAACATTTTTCAGTTTAAATATCTAACAAGGTAATAAATAATACCTCACATACACAAAATTTTTCCTGGAGTCTTCAATATTTTTTAAGAGTGCAAAAGTCCTCAGAACAAAAATGATTGCAAACTACTCTTCTAGACTAAAGGCTCAGAAAATTTAAGAGTAAAAAATTAAAAAGCAAAGAGTAGACAAGGAATGGCACATCATTTGATATCATTAGAATATGTGTTGTATGGCATGAATGGTGTGAGATGAGGCTAGCGTCCTAGAAAGTAGTCCAATATTGAAGGATTTGGTTTGTCAAGAAAAAGGTATTAAAATTTTTATTGAAATGTAATTAAAAGTGTACCATTCAGTAGTTTTTGGTATATTCCACTATAAATTTTTTAAATTAGGTAAAAATATGTGAAACATAACATTTGCCATTTCAACTATTTTTAATTGAACAATTCAGTGATGTCAATTACATTCATAGTATTGTGCAACCCTCACCACTACGCATCTCCAAAACATTTCTTTCTCTTTAAAGACCAACCTCATTGAAGCAATTATTCCTCCTCCTTGTATTCTCTGGTAACCTTTCATCTATTTTTTTCTCTATAAGTTTGGCTATTGTATATATTTCATATAAATGGAGTCATACAATATTTGTTTTATTGTGTGTTGTAACTCACTCAGAATACTTTGAAGGTTACTTCATGTTGTAGGTATCAGAAGTTGATCTGCCTCATTATGGCTGAACTATGTTCTCTTGTATGTATATGCTGCTGCTGCTAAGTCATTTCAATCATGTCCGACTCTGTGTGACCCCAAAAACGGCAGCCCACCAAGCTCCCCCACCCCTGGGATTCTCCAGGCAAGAATACTGGAGTGGGGTGCCATTTCCTTCTCCAATGCATGAAAGTGAAAAGTGAAAGTGAAGTTGCTCAGTCATGTCCAACTCCTAGTGACCCCATAGACTGCAGCCTACCAGGCTGCTCCGTCCATGGGATTTTCCAGGCAAGAGTACTGGAGTGGGTTGCCATTGCCTTCTTCGTGTATGTATATGATGTATTTTATTTATCCATTTATCTCTTTATGGATACTTGATTTACTTCTACCTTTAGTTATTGTGAAAATGGTACAGTGATCACTGATATACTAATATTTAAGACTCGGAGTTTCAATTTTTTTTAGTGGATAAAGGGAAAACAATGGAAAGCTTTAAGGCATGCATATAATATGATTTCTGTTTTATGAAGATAACTCTGGTTATGTTATGTTTGATAATATTTAAGAGATGCCATAGGAGTTTGTTGCTGTGTTACAGATCCCATTTATATAGTGGTAACTTAAATTGAAAACAGCTTAATCAAAATATATATGTACTCCTGTTCAGTTGTTTTCTTTTTATTTTGTTGATAGTTTCCTTCACTATAAAAAAGCTTATTAGTTTGATATAGTCACAATTATTTTCACCTTTATTGCCCTTGCCTGAGGAGACAGACACACACA